ATTCTCTTTTTGAGTAAACAAACATGGCCGCCCCCGTTCTTACCATTCGTTGGACTGGAGTGTTGGGGACTCATTCTGCGCTATGTGGTATAAGGCACTCATTGCGTTCATGTTGAACAGAGGCGGCTTCCTTTCGGCTGCGGAGAAAAAAAGAAAGGAAGGGTGGCTTAAAAGGGGGTTCACACACCCAGAAGGAACCCCAAGGGCCATCTAATCCAACCCTATACCTATAGGAACAGGCAAATATTATTATTACTATTACTATTATTATTATTAGCCATCCCTTGCCACGCATTACTGGGATGTTTTGTGTGTGTCAAATGGTCCCTGGTCAAAGTGGCCTCTGGCCAAGTTGTCCCTGGTCAAACTGGTCCGTGGTCAAGTGGTCCCTGGTGAAAGTGGTTTCCTGGTCAAATGGTTTGTGGTCAAGTGGTCCCTGGTGAAAGTGGTCCATGGTCAAATAGTTCCTGGTCAAAGTGGCCTCTGGTCAAGTGGTCCCTGGTGAAAGTGGTCCGTGGTCAAATGGTTTGTAGTCAAAGTGGTCTCTGGTCAAAGTGGTCCCTTGTCAAAAATGATTGGGAACCACTGATCTAAACAGAGGACACCCTTAGAGGCCAAAATAAGGCAGAGCCATGATGTAGGAAAAAAATAACCTGAGTATAGAGAACATTTTCCCCATGTTCTTGGGGCATTTGCAGAGGGGCAGAGGTGGCTCACCTAATTCGATACACGTGATCCCAAGAGACCAGACGTCCACTTTCCCGTCATACTGCCCTTCGTCCATGGCTAAAATTACTTCCGGGGCCATCCTAGAAAGCAGAAGCAACATGCTCAGCAGATATTAAACCTTTCTCTCCCTATACCATCCCACTGCTGAGACGCGCATAACATATACATAGACAGGCAGTCCCAAAGTACACTCTGAACAACACTCTGACCTCGCATGACCCTCTTACCAATATGGCGCCCCCACTCTGACCTCGCACGACCTTCTTACCAATATGGCGCCCCCACTCTGACCTCGCACGACCTTCTTACCAATATGGCACCCCCACTCTGACCTCGCATGACCCTCTTACCAATATGGCGTCCTCACTCTGACCTCGTATGACCCTCTTACCAATATGGCGCCCCCCA